TAGTTTTGTATATTCTAATTTTTATGTTTTTGGACAGCAGACGAGAAGACAAAAGGTTCTGGACTGAATGGTAGCAAGTGTTACCCAAGTTCAATCTCCTCTTAATTTCCTCCTGAATCAGGTTTCGATCTGTTATCGTTCTTCCCAAATATCTGAATTGTGCCACATTTTCAAAACATCTGTTTCCTATCTTTATGTCATGATATTGCCCTGAATTTTGGTGACGAGACAGCAACATATACTTGGTTTTCTCTGTGTTTACTTCTAGACAAACCTCTTTACTTGCGTCAATTAAAGTTTGTGTGTTGTTCTTTATGGTATCTACATTATCACCCAGTAGATTCACATCATCGGCATAGACCAACAGCTGATGTGTCCCGTTTAATTTCAGTCCCACCTGGTTTCCCTGGACCTTCCTAATGGCATATTCTAAGGCAAAGTTGAAAAGGAGCGACGATAAAGCATCTCCTTGTTGTAGACCATTCTGGATAGGAAATTTTAGAGACAAATATTTACCTATACTGACTTACTATACGTTTCGTTTAAACACATTTTAATCAACCTAACTAGTTTCATGGGTATCCCAAACTCTATCAGAATATTGCACAATACTTCCCTCTTAACTGAATTATAGGTCTTCTGGAAGTCTATGAATAGCTGATGTTCTGTCCCATCGTACTCCCATTTTTCTCCAATATCTGACGAGTGCAAAAGATCTGATCTGTAGTTGATCTGTTACGTTGAAACCCACACTGATGATCCCAATAATTTCATCTATATATGGACTTAACCTTGAAAGAAGAATATTGGACAGAATTTTGTATGAAGTTAATAGCAGTGATATCCCCCGATAATTACTACAGCCAGTTTTATCACCCTTCTTGTGCACTGGTACAATACTAGACTCTTTCCACTGATCAGGCAATTTTTCCTTATGCCAAATAGAGTAATTAGATTGTGGATCTTAAAACGTAATATTTCGGTTACTGCTTGAATAAGTTCTGCCGGAATTTGATCACTACCTGGACCAGGTTATGTATGATCAAATTAAATTTAATGACTCTTTATCAAAGTTTCTTGGATGTGGAATTTGCTTCCTACCCTTTTCATTAAGGTTCCAAGGAATCGCAAATTCAGAATTAACCATATGCCACAGTTTCTATGGAATTAGCATTCCTTACTGGCAATTGTTCTCTTGAACTGACAAGTGAATAAAGCCATTGTTTTCGTGATACTGCAATTCAGCAATATTAATAACACGATATAACAGGAGGTCTTGGATAGATCACGGAAGATATGGAAGTATAAGGGAAAGCACCAAGTCTATATTGCGCCATTTTCTCATATCAACTGAATAGTGTCACTGCTATCGTGTGGCAGTTGAATAACGCAGTGCATTCTGTGAGATGGGGATATCGACCCTGCAGTTAATCCATGACATGGCGCTGTGAAGTTTATCCATTGTACATAGCTCTATGTTGTTTATAGGTAATATTATTTTTACGTATTTCGATCTTCAGCGATTTTTGTCCTAAATGCATAAAATCGATCAATCGACGAAATACAGAGCAAGCTTCCATCACGCATTAATTATGGTTCGCGAAAATGACCGATTTATGTATCTGCGGTAGGTTTTATGTTCTGCAATGTAAAATGAGAGCTCGCATTCGTTTCTCCTTGCTTAGCTCAGTCAGGATAGTGACGAGCTACGGAATTAAGGGTCAAGGTTCCATTCCAGGCAGGGGTAAGATATTTTTTCTCTTCTCTACAGCGTTCATACCGCCTCTGGGGCCCACCCAGCCTCCTACTGAATGGACACTAGGGGCGATTTCTCCGGGAGTAGAGCGGTCGGAGCGTAAAATTAATCAGGCACCTCCATCTAGTGTCGAGGCCAAGAATTTTGGAGCCATACCTCCACTTCCCAATATGTCTTCATGGCATAGTGTTTGTTTTGTTTCCATCTCAACACAATAACTATCATTGCATTCACATTTAAAGGTAAAGGCTCTGTGAGCAATAAATTAAGCACTACGCCATGAAGGCGTATGGGGGAGTGACTGTATAAATCCACATTTTCCTGACCTCGGCACTAGCTGGAGGTGTGATCAGATTCACGCCTCGGCCACTTTACCCCCTAGGAAAGAGCCCCCGGTACCCATTAGATAGGAGGTTGGGTGAAACACAAAGCCGGTCTGGACGACTTGGAGAAAGAAAATTCTTAACCCTACCGGCACTCGAACTCCGACCCCTTGGTTGTCCAACCCCGCTTCCCCAACCTGACTCTGTATATCAGTCCACGGAATTATGTTGGGCAAACAGAACGAATGATCAGAACAAGATTTAAAGAGTAACGGGCAGAACTCCCCAAGTTTGCCCAGCGCATATTGGATACCGGACACGAATACAAGACAAAAGAAAAAGCAATGAATATGCTACATATAGAAAAGAAAGGCCATATGTTGGACATTTATGGGAGAGGTATGCCGCCTTCCCTTATTTATTTCTCTTCAGCATTTCAAGGGATTAAACTGTGAAGTGCATATAAATAAAATTTGAAAACTTTGTTCATATTTCTGAAAAAAAAACTAACAGAACATCATCATTCAAAATGATCAATTGGTTAATGATGTTTCGTGAAACGATAGCTGTTTGTTCCGAGATACAAACGACACCCATAAATACACTGCGTGAGCGAAATGCATAGTTATTGGACGTTAAAGAAACGGTATTACAGCTGCTACTGCTCTATAAAAAACGCATGGAGTGGAAATGAAATGAGTGATAGCCCGCCGTTTCGAATCAAACTACCGAGGATTATGAAAGGCTTCAGTTAGTTCCATATACGTAATTAATGAAGCGAGGCTACAGACAGTGACGCAACAAAACGATAGGAAAATATACCGGCCTTTTAAACTGTCTATACATAACAGAGATGAATGAGTGTTCATGCATGTACTGCCCAGGTCTATATCAATGGCATTACAGAACTTTAAAATTTGCAGCGTACTAGGAAGACTTTAATGAACTTACAGCTTATATTCCTGCTTCTCTACCGACCGTGAGATTAAATTACAGGCAGCAAAGCAGTAAAGAGAAGATGCCTTGAACCAGATACAAAGGGGGAGGGGGCTTGAATAACAAATTCCGACCCGTTTCATTCTGAATAGAACTACTGAACAAAACCTGCTTCATCTACAAGGGTAAGTCAATAAGTAAGTTACAAATGGATATAGAACTTAAACAAATAAGAGTACTGATTTGAAAAATGCTTTTATTTCTCAACATAATCTCCCTGTACGTTGAGGCACTTGTCCCATCATTTCCAAGCCCCTGAAAACGAGCAGCATAAAATTATTTGGGCTGCTGTCAGAACCAGGCGGTGACTTCCCTTTCTACAGCTTCATCGTCGGGAAAATGTTCAGCCGAAAGATGATGTTTAAGAGGGCCGAACAAATGGAAGTTGCCTGGAGCAAGGTCGGGGCTATACGGAGGATGCTCGAGGACTTCCCACTTGAAATTTCGCAGCGTTTCATTTGTCTTGTTGGCAGTATGGTGACGCGCGTTGTCATGCAAGAGCAACACGCCTTTGGTGAGGAGTCCTGGTCGCTTCCGTTGAATGGCCTTACGAAGTTTCCTGAGGATGTTACAGTAGGAGTCGGCATTTACGGTTTGTCCTTGAGGCTGGAATGCGGTCAGCAGTATCCTATCGTGATCCCAGTCACCGCCTGATACCGACAGCAGCCCAAAGAATTTTACGCTGCTGGTTTTCAGGGGCTTGTGAAATGATGGGACAAGTGCCTCAATGTACAGGGAGATTATGCTGAGAAATAAAAGCATTTTTCAAATCAGTACTCTTATTTGTTTAAGTTCTATATCCATTTGTAACTTACTTATTGACTTAATTACGTACAGTTCTTTTTATGTCTCCAGCTACAGGACGCTTGCAAAAAACCATGAAGAATGCCGTCGTTTGACATGTGGCGCCGTATATATCTTGTGTGAACCGACGTTTCGGAGGAAGGTATCACCTCCATCTTTAGGGTAGAAAATCAGCGAGCGAGGAACCAGAATGAGCAGGTGGCTGCAAACTGAGTCATCAGTAGAGAACACCCAGCTATATAAGAAAAAGGTAGTGACGGAGAGTGGGTCACATTGGAAACCAATATAGACAAGAGGAGTAGGGCCTGTAGAGATGGGCGAGCAGGTGGCAAGTAGCAGAGAACGGGTCAGAGCCGGTATAGGATCGTTGTCAGGTGGGAAAAGTCAGGGCTACCGACAGAACATTAATCCAGCAGCCTCGGGCCTCAGCTGCCGAGCCACCGACTAGATGCTCAGTCTGTAGCCACCTGCTAACGCTGGATAATAGTTCGCGGATTTTTCTACCCTTAAGGAGGAGGCGACAAATTCCTCCGAAACGTCGGTTCACACAAGATCTACACGACATCACATCCCAGAAGACGGAATTCTTCATAGTCACCGCCGTGAAAACCTCAAATCTTACAAAAAAATGTTTAATGGACCGCCCTATTATGGTATTTTCCCAAACTTAATTAGCATTGTTCCTCTTGAAAATTTCTGCAAAAACTGATGAATTCGGGAACGTTAAAATAGTTAGGTGTTTTATTAAAACTGTTTGAATACATCCGTATTCGTTTAATGTTATTCACAGTTGATGTGTACGAACATTTTTTTTTTTTTTTAATTTATCATTCGCAGCTTTGGAGCTGTAGTTCATTCGGGCAAACATGGAACGATTATGCATATCTGGGCCCTGGAACTTCGTATCTTAAGAGCACAGAATGAGACTTACCATTCCAGCGTTCCCTTTTTCAGCGCCATGATAATCTCTCCTCTGATTTCCTTGTTGAAGGGGCAACACTTCCAAAATGCTTTCATCGTTGACATCAAACCCAAGCACCTGCATTAGCACAGAATGTTTGCTTGTAAAACAGTGCTACGTACATTTACACTAGGTCAAGGATGGGGCTTTATTTTGAGAACGGTTAATTACTAACTGGAAAGGAAAAAATAACAGTAATAAAAATTCTCTAAAATGCTTTACTTTTACGTGATAAGCCAACAGAATAAACGCCAATTTGAGTAAGCAGAAGGAAGAGATAAACAAAAGAAACACATACACACTAACAAAAGAATAAAACAATACAAT